TTTTTTTTTTTTTTTTTTTGCTTAAGTTGGGTACAAGGTTGGATTTTGAGGTACTTTCATTAAACAGCATTTGTTTCCGATTCTGTGTCTCCCTCTCTCTCTGACCCTCCCCCGTTCATGCTCTGTCTCTCTTTGTCTCAAAAATAAACATTAAAAAAAAAAATTTAAAAAAACCAGCATTTGTACATAAAGTATCTTTAAGAAAAAAAATGTAATATAAGTAAGCTTGTTGTATGTTCACAAAGGTGTGAAAGAACATTTCATGTGTCTTTCTCCTTTTTAACCTTATAGCATCTACTTTTGGCCATGTGCCAAATTTGAGATGCACAAAATGAGCAAAGAGTGAGTGTCTCTGATTAGTGTTAATGATTCTCTTCTTTTCCACAGTTACACAAATGCACTATTCACCATGAAGCTGGAAGCCTTATCCCAAGGGCAAGAGAATTTAAGCTGGAATGAAATTCAGAAGTGTATAGATATGGTGAATATTCAAATTCAAGAAGAAAACGATCGTAAGTATGGAACACGTTCCTTCTCATAGTATAATGAGCAACTGAGGTTTCTGGACTACTTAGTTCCCTAGATTAGGAATGCAGATTTTTGCTCATGGAGCCCCAAGAGAGCACTCTTCCCTGATATGCATGTGTATATATAAATTTTTTGCCTGTAATACTGTGTCACCGTACATGCATTACAAAGCATACACAAAAAGACATAAAAGGATGGGATAAAAATATGTAAACAGAAGTCCTCATGTTTTCTTATTTATACTTCACAGGTGAATACTCTAGTTAACTCAGTTTTTAAAATTTTTTTGAATGTTATTCATTTTGGAGAGAGACACAGAGCATGAACAGGGGAGGGGCAGAGAGAGAGGGGGAGACAGAATCTGAAGCAGGCTCCAGGCTCTGAGCTGTCAGCACAGAGCCCGACACAGGGCTCGAACCCACGAACGGTGAGATCATGACCTGAGTGGGAGTCGGACGCTTCACTGACTGAGCCACCCAGGTGCCCCATAACTCAATTTTTTAGATGCTCAACTTTATTTTGATCTTTTATTTGGGCTTTTTTTTTTTTTTTTTTTTTTTTGAAGTTTGAACATGTTCCTACCCTAAGAAGAAATTGGAACAAAAACTATAGGATCACATACCATGATTGATGATTGACTGTGTATCTAGAAACTATGAGCTACCTGCGTGACCCAAGAAGATATGCTCTGAAACATGCTTTCTTGAAGATACACTTGCCTCCTTATCATTTGCCTCTTGCTTGCAAAACAGAGTGTGGAATCAAGAGCTCTGTAACTGAGCAGTTAGTGTAGTCACTGCTTTCCTGTAGCATGAACTATCAAATTCAAGTTCCACGTGGTCTGTTTCATCATAAAAACAAACTAGCACCATCATCTTTGGCTTCCTCTGAGCTCTTTGATTTGTCAGCAACATTTATTTATTTTTTTTTTAATTTTTTTTTTCAACGTTTATTTATTTATTTTTGGGACAGAGAGAGACAGAGCATGAACGGGGGAGGGGCAGAGAGAGAGGGAGACACAGAATCTGAAACAGGGTCCAGGCTCCAAGCCATCAGCCCAGAGCCTGACGCGGGGCTCGAACTCACGGACCGCGAGATCGTGACCTGACTGAAGTCGGACGCTTAACCGACTGCGCCACCCAGGCGCCCCATTGTCAGCAACATTTAAATTAAGATCGCTGATGTCCGTGACCTCCCCTCTGTCCTCCATCTTTGACCTATAACTCATTCTAAGTTTGCTGACCCAGTAGGCAGATAGTTCTCTCACACATTTAGGCTGTTCTAGTGCGTTTTGGTGAGGTCTTAGGTCTGGTCTTCTAAGGCAGAATCTAACTTTGGGATAGTAAAATCCCTGTTGAGATAAAAACATATGACTTTGTTATTTAATTGCATTTGCATAATCTGCTTTGCTTTCTTTACTCTTTCCTATGAGCCCTGTGGCCAGCATCATGGCAGGGTTTGTTTTGTTGTTGTTGTTGTTGTTGTTGTTGTTGTTGCTGTTGTCGTTAAACATCTTACTCTAGGTGCCTAATAGATAACATGTATTCAGATATGCTACCTTGACATCATATTCACAGATGGGCCACTGTTACACATACATCCAGGCAGTTTCTTCATTTTGTCCTTTTTAAGTTCTATAAATCTAAATTTCCTCTTCTCTGACCACACAGCTTGCTGCTGCCTCTCTGCGTGTCCTTGGAGACATTTCGGAATCCCTGCAATCGGACAGTTTGCACACAGCCCACTTAGCTTTTTTCTGACATGTTGCCTTGGTCGCTGGTGGTTCTTGCCAGATGTTAGTCAAGAGGGAAGCACTAATGTGAGCAGATGTTTGATATCGTCTGGTCTGGACGGACACTAGTGTATGTCCTGTTACAAAGTTCACACCCCCAGCCCCCTGCCCTCCTGCCCTGCTACTTGACTCCCAGCTGCACACTCTTGAGTTTCCTGCAGCAATTGTTTGAGTGCTTTGGCTAATCCACTTCAAGAGTAGGACTCCTCTGTTTCGGTAAGCAAAACTAAGAATCAGGTCCCATCTTTGTTTTCTCATTTTTTCCTAGTTCTTGCTGGCAATACCCACAGTCCAGGCCTTTGGTAATTTCTGTATGTGCTGCTTTTATGGCAAAGGTGCATTAGTTCTCAGTGCTAAGTGGTTGTACTTTTACTCCCATTCTGGACGTTAATTAAAAAGCAGGGTGGAGGATGCCATTTTTGTTGCAGACTATCCAGTAGAGCTTTTGCTTTTTTTTTAGGAAAAGAAAAACAAGTAACATTTGTATCACTTAAAAAAAAGAATGGCTTTTTGTTAGGTGGGTGTTATATCTAAGCAGAAATATTTTTGGATTGGTATCTTTGGATTGGTATGGATTTGTCTGTATAGGCATCTACACTACATGTATTTTCCATGGGCTGTACGTCACATGGCTGTTATCATATTTCCTTTGATTATCATGTCATGAAGGGCATATGCCATAACCACAGTAGTTATTTCAGAGACTTCTTTATCACATTTCCTTTCTAGAATTTGGAGAACTCAGTGCAGAATATATAATTTCTCTGTGCTTTGGTTTATTAGGTCACAATGAGGTATTTTTGTTCAAAGTTCTTGAATTCTTGAGTGTGATATCCTCTGTTTATGTAATTGTTTTAAAAGCTACATAAAAATATACACCATTGTGAACAGACATAAATTGCACAGTATAGTAATTAAACCACCCCAAAGGGCTAAGGATTTTTCATGGACACCTTGAAAGTGTTTTACCTTTCCCACCCTGCCCCTGCCACACACTTCAAGGTCTAATCCTGTGTCTGAATTGTGATGTGGATAAGGTACCACAGCTAATGGGAAATGCTAAATGTGGAAGGTGCATTTAATAGAGAAGATGCTAAGTGCATTTCCTCAGACTTGGAGGCTCTGTTGATTTCTTCCTGGAAAGTTCACTTTTCCTGGTGGAGCCAGAGAGGAGCATCAGTTTAACCACGTAGCCGAAACAAGGTAGTTTTGTTCCTTTGAATTTTTGCTTTTTTAATTTAGTAGGTACTTGTCTTTGTAGGTTAACTCATCTGCTATCTCAAATGCATGAGCTGTAAGAGAATATCCACTGTCTCACTGGAATAGAACATTATAGTCTCTGTGATGGTTTAAAGAAGTGGGTCATGAACTGGCGCTCAGCAATGGGATTTTCCCTTCTCTTATAAACAGAGGAAGTGATGCGCATGTGCCCTGGTGGCTTCTGGGTAGGTCTTACATGTCCTGTGAGGTCATTTACTATGACCTCAGGAGCTTGTGTTCTTAGAAACATATCAAACAAAAATTTAAACAAGTGGTTTCAACCAAGTCAGCTGGAATGCACTCACTCCCAGGTGACTGGCCATTAGGAACACATATTCTTTTTCTCAGACATAGTTCTGTTAAGATCATTTTTGGATGGGGTGTTTAAAAGTATTTGGAACAGTCTACCGAAGAGACTTCGTGTCCAGGGAATGATATGAAGTATACCATGCTCTCCAGGTTGTAACTACTACAGGGTAAAACGATAATACCCTGTATGTGGATAGTACTTAGACTTTCCTGAGTTCTTCCAATGTTTTCAAATCATGTAACTTGAGTGTTAGGGAACTATTTTTGCTTTTTCTTCAAACATGTTTAAGTGTTAGAATCTAGAATAATTTCTGCCCTTTTAGATCATCCCTTTTCTTCTACAGATAAATCTCTTCATTCTTAGCGTTTGAATATCGGGATGAAGATACTTCTTAAAAATTGTAACTACTTTATTCCATAGCATGTCACATTAGTAAAGTGACTTATGATTGTGTTTGAAAAAATAACTGACAGAATGAGAAATAGTGAGTTTGGCTTTAGGAATATTTATTTTCAAAACTTACTGCTTGTTAATGTTTATCTTCTTTCCTAGTTCTTGTACATCAGCACTAAGCTGGGAAGTGAAAAAACCCCGTTTGTGTGTGTGTGTATATGTGTGTGCATATACAGTTGACCCTTGAACAGCGTGGTTTGAACTATACGTTTTTTTTTTTTAATCAGTAGAGTACTCTAAATATATTTTCTCTTAGGATTTTCTTAACATTTTCTTTTCTCTGGCTTACTCATTGTAAGAATACATGTTACTTGACTATGTTATTACTGAGGCTTCCAGCCAGTAGTAAGCTCTGATTAGTTAAATTTGGGGGGA